AACACACAGGCTGAGGGCTGGATGGAACAGACACTGCAGAGGGTCTGCGGTTCAGGAGAGAGGTCTGGGTTTGGATGACACAGGGGCAGCTGAAGCCCTCCAAGCTGGTACGCTCACCAAGGAAAGAAACAGCAAAGTGAGGACTAAGGCCAACCCTGTAGAACCTCCACAGCCACAACAGTCACCAAATGAGTCAGCTGTCAGAGAGTGGAGGGTGGTTCAGCCGGGGAGAAAGGCCTTTCAGACGTGGGAGACGGGCCGTGTGCCCGGCGCTGCAGCACCGTCAGGCAGATGCGGGCGAAACACCAGCTTCCCCAGAGACAATGTAGGACTTCTGAGAGCAGTTCCAGGCAGGCTGCTGCACAATGACAGGGGCTTTGACCATTTCTACCTTGGCCTTCCATCTCCTCCTCTGCCTCCCCCGGCTCAGCCTCCATCTAGACCAAGGCTCCAAGCCATCTGGGCCTGGCAGCCCAGGCTTCTTCCCCGCCTCCTCTACCATGTCACAGGGGAGCTGCCAACAGTGCTTCTAAAGACATGGGAGCAGCAGCACTTCCTGAGCTGTCTGCCGAGTGGCTTTGCAGGTGGAAGAACTGTCCTCTGCCGAGCATCACTCACTGAGCCCACCTCACTGGCGCTGGGAGAGTAAGAATGCGCCCCCCGTATAGGGGTGCCCTTCCAGGTCGCACCCTACAGACCAGGCCCCTGCCCAGCGGTGGTGACCTCCTCCAGGTCATGGATTTCAGCTTTCACTCTGCTGACACAAGGGAGTCGAACTCTGGACCAATTTAGTAGTAAAGAGAATCATCTGGGCATGTGCAGGGCAAGCAGAACCTGCGTGTGGCACATGGAATATCATAGGTGACTCCCCGATGCTTCACAAATCCCATGACCCAGATCTCTCAAGAATAAGCCAGCCTCTTCCCAGGATCATGCTGGTTATAAGAGATCTTGGCAGCTTCCTATCTGCTGGGGCTCAATCCCTGGGGTAGCCCCCTTCCTGCAGTCTCCTCCCTCAGCATTCTATCCACGGTACCTCTCAGGCCCTCTCCTCAGAACTTACTCTGTGTCACTGCTCTCTGACCCCCTGCCACACTCTATCCACTTAGTTCCTGGACTCTTCCCTCACCCACTAACTGGGCCCTAGTTTCTAGTCTTGATCTCCCTTTTTGTTTTTTAAAGATGTGTTTATTTTTATTCTTATGTGTATTGATGGTTTTGCCTGCATGTACGCCTATAAAGGTGCCAGATCCCCTGAAACTGGAGCTATAGACAGTTGTGAGCTGCCATGTGGGTGCTGGGTACTGAATCCAGGACCTCTGGAAGAGCAGTCAGTGCTCTTAACCACTGAGCCGTCTCTCCAGCCCTCCTTGGTCTCCATTTCTCCTGATTTGGTTTCTGCACATCAGTAGCAGTGATTAAAGAGCACAAAAAGCGAGAGTCAGTAGATTATGTCCATCTCCTGTTGCAAGCCGTTCTGTGCACTTAGAATGGTATTTGGTCTCTGTCCCAGGTTGAGCGCAGTCACATTGACCTGCGGGTCCCTTAATGACACCAAGTCCTTCTCCCTGTATGCCTGCATGCCCCTCACCCTCTATAGCTGCTCCTGCTTTCGTCATTCAAGCTTTGGCACAAAGGGCCTCATTCGGGGTCCTTCCCTGAGTGTCTGTGTAGAAGCTGAAGTCCTTCTCCATCCACACCTGCTACAGTCTGACTTTATTCCTGACTCACTACTCCTTGCTCATTATTCATGCATCCAACCAGTATCTCTTGATGGCTCTATGCCAGCCAGGAAGCACATGTTAATTTCCAAGAATAGAATGTATCTTCCCCAGATGACATGAAAACCACAAGCACAAAACCTGAGCCATGGCATGGAGGAGACATTCAATAGGGATGTGATCTGCAGAACAAATGGCAGCTACAAGGTGACTTCCTGTGTGCTCAGGAAATCAGAATTGGCTGGAACAGTTTCTTGCTCAGGCCTCACAGCTTTGAGTCGGCAGTATTCCAAAGTGGCCCCACCTCTGGAATAAATCAGTCATTGCTTGTGTTTTTCCAGGCTGACCATGACTCCCTGTTTATGGATCCAGCCACCATTTATTTAGATCCCGTGTGCTCAGCTCCAGTCAGTTCTTTCTGTGGGCAGGCTCAAAGGCTACCCTGGTCTAGCTATAGCATGACTGACCAGTACTAAAGGTCACCCACATAGTTTAGCCAGGCAGCAGGCTTCCTCCCACGCCTGGACACTGCCATCTTCCATTTAGGCTTACCAGATAGCCAGGGTTTCGATGCACTACCAAGGACAACACTCAGAGGCAAAACGTACTCAATGGGCCAGCCACATTTCTTGAGCCCAATTTGTAAGCAATGTGTAGCCCAACCTGTACTGGCCTGGAGTCATTACACGTTCCACCATCACAGGTGTCCACCCAGTGGGCAACCAGACTATAGGGTCCAGCAGGTACAGCTGTGTCCCATTGCTGTTGGCACTTACCAGCTCCGAGATCTTCAGCCACCCCTACTTCTAGAACCTTAGTTTCTTCTTTTGCAAAAACAAGGACTATGAAAGCAGATGTGTGGGGCTGTTGAAACCCCTTGTTTCTCTCTGTCCAATGGGCTCATAAAGTCTTAGTGGTCCCAGCTCAAGGGATATGAGAAGGAAGAAGCAACATTTCTAAGGCCAATCTCACGGCCAGACATCAACAACAAAAGAAGAATGCAATTAGGGACAAGAGAGTTCAGACAAGTGTGTGCTGGGTGGCACCAGAGACAGAAGAATGGCGGGGTAGCAGAGCACATGGCTCTGCTCTGGGTCATCCTTTCCATGGGGCCTGGGGAGAATGGCTCAGAGGAGGATGGGTTTGGGCCTCTCTGCTCACCAATGCTCTGTACCAAGGATTAACAAAGCAGCTGGGCGGCAGGAGCAGATCTAAAGCAAGACCAGGTAGCAGCTTTTCTAAGAATGAACCAGCCACTCCCTGCCCCAGTGACCTGGGGATCCTGAGGCTATAATCGACAGCGTGCACAGCCTTCTCTCCCTGACATTTCTATCCCTAGAATGTTGTGTCTTCCCACATTCTGCCTTGGCAAGTGGCCTTCCATAGCCAGGGAAGCAACCCGGCTGTCAGCCTGAGGTGCCGTGCGATGGTTTGTTAGAAAAGAGATGACTGCAGCCCCCAAGCGTCCTGATCATTGGTAGAATGGAACCGTAAGTTCCTTGCATTCTGTCAGCCACACACCCCAAGGTGGCAGACAGCAGTCCCAGGTGAGTGCTTGGTTCAAGTGTGGGGGCTCATTTTCATTACAACATATACCCAAAACTGCAGTGCAGGGCCCAGTCCAGTGAGCTGTGCTTGACAAACCACACAGTCCTAATGCTACTCTGACCTGACATTGTGCACAGCCCCTCTGGGATACACTGAAACATCACGGAGAATCCTGCTTGTCCCTGAGTAGGTCAATTTTCTGTGCAAGACCTAGAAATAGTCCCAGCTGTTCCTCAGCCCCTCCCAAGGACACCCCCCCCCCACCAAGTTATAGCATTGAATTGCTCACAATAAGGTCAAAGCACACAAGAAGATTTGAAGCTCAGCCCTCTGGGTGCCCACACGGCTCCCAGCAGCCCAAAAAGCAGTAGCAGCATCTCAATGATGGAAAAGTCATTTAAAAAAGAATCTCCAAAAATCTTCTGAAAAAGTCTCACTGCTCAGATGGCCTCAGAGCCACAGGGCTGGCAGCGACTGCTGAGATGGTAGCTTCCAAATTTGCTTTGCCCTCCAAAACCAGGGCTCATCTGCAATTCACCCAGAAGCCCCAGATGCAAGCAGACTGCTCTGGTGGAGGCTGGGTCATCTGTCTGGCACCTTCACTCCTCTCCTGCAGCTCCAGATGGCCCCTAAGACAACTCTAAGGACCAAAGGGGCCCCACAAAGCACTGACAGAAACCCAATACTCCAAGCCCACTGTCCAGAACAAAGGCTAGAAAGGTGGTCCAGGCTCTGAATGGCCTATGAACGAAAACCTGGAGTCCCAGAAGCTTCTCACATCACTCTGCTACAGTCAGGATCTGGCAACTGGAAGAAGCAAGGCTCATTTTAGATTGCCTACAGCATAACCCTTATGCATCTTAAAGGACTCTGAGTCAGTCAGGTGGGAAGCAGAGTCCCGGGGTTGGCAGAAGGAAGGTTGGAAACAAGTCGAAGAAACATGTCTAGAAATTCCATATAGTTCTGTCGGTTCTTGGGACATAAACAGGTCCTGGGAGGCCTGGGCTGTGCCCCTGTGAGAGCCTCTGGAGCAGGCAGGCCAGGAGGTAAACACTAACGAGCTATGGAAATAGCGATTACTTCTCCCACGTCAGGCACTGTGCCAGCTGAGGAGGATAAAGAGGTCTGAGATATTTTTAAAGTATTTTTACAGCAGAAAAACTTTCCTACAGACTCAATTATGTAACTATCAGACTCCACCTCTGAGCTGAAATTATCCAAGGCCTCAGGATGAAAAAAAAAGGGAGGGGAGTGAAAAAGGGAAGAAATAATCTTTCCTACATGAGGGCCACAGGTCTCTCCAGAGAACTTTGAGCTATATGGCCAGTGACCTAGGGCAGCTGCAAGCCATCAGTCCCCAGACCTTCTCAAGGGCAATTTGGAGACTGCCAGAGACAAAAAAAAAAAAAAAAAAAAAAAAAAACTGGCCAAGTCAAGGGCAGAAGTCACATGCTGTGCCCAGCCAGCATAGATAATGCCGATAAGTCCAGGAAGATCTGTTAAGGGCTTCCAAACCCAGCCACACGAGTGCCCTCCCCATTCCCTGGAACCCAAATGGAGCTGGGGTATTTGAGGCTGTGAAGATGCCCAGGGAATATCTCCTTAGTTCACAGTGCCTGTCCTTAGCAAAGCATACGGTTAGTGAGGGAAAGCCAGGGCTTAAGCCATGTAGACATTCAGCAAGGACAGGATGGCCAAAATCAAAGGGACAGCTGAGGGAGGTTAACTTACAGCCCAGGTTTTTGTCAGCCTGAAGATGGGAGCACTCTGTAATGCTGATACCACAGACATGAGAGAATGAAGGTTGTTGAGTTCTAGAAGTTTCTGGGGAAACAAAAAGATATGGAATACATTATTTTGCTGCCATAGACAACAGAACAAAAACATGGTTATGTGTTGCCAAATGTTGTCATATTTATGAAATTCAGTTATACTTAAAATATCTCACATAGAAAATATAGTTCTAAAAAGTTCATAGGAAACATAAGTTCTTTTCCTCCAGTTTTTTTCAGAAGGTGAGTCTCCATCTAAAAACCTTGCCAATTTTCATAGTCTGGAAGCAAGACTTGAAACTAGGTAATCAATCCCTTCATGTTTTTATAGCTGACCCTGAACAGGCTTCTGTGAGAAGACCCCAGGGTGCCAACAGCATCAGCAGCTTATTCAGTGCTTACCTTAACCTTGGATGGGAAAGAGGCCAGGGAAGATGTTATCAATCTGTGTAATGGCTCTCAGCTGGGAAGGCAAGGCTCAGGATTCCCAGGCCCTTGACCGTGAGCCTTTGAGACAGAGCCCAAATGAGTGAGGACATATGGTGTCACTTCAGTCTCAGGCAAGTTCTTTACCAGAGGGCCACACGGCAGTCAGGGCAGAACACTGTAATCTGTTCTCGTTTTTATGCTAGGCATACTTGCTGATGGGACGGGTCCTGCTCCTCACTCCTACTGGGCAGTGAAGCCTGGTCTAGCAAGAAGGCTGTATGGACACACTACCAGCTCCTTTTTCTTGTGTTTCTTTGGCAAGTTACCCAGGCCTTTTGCATTTCAGTGTCCCCAGACCTAAACTGAGGGTGGTGATTATGGTATCTGTGCCACCTGAGACACACACATGAACTGCCCAGCTGAACAAGTCTCTGTCTTCTCTATCTGGAAGGCTCGTCTCCACTCCCTCATTGGTTGTCTTGGGTACCGGTGGCCTCAGGTGGCCCTTCCTCTACCATGCCTTCCCTAGCCATGTTCTCAAACGCTCTGTGTCCCTATGTGTGTCCTGTGAGAGCATGGACAAAGTGTTATCCACCACCTGGCACCTGTATCTTGCGAAAAGCCTAGCACAGTAGACAAGATAAATAAATCAATAAAAGCCTTTGGGCCTGGACCCTACAGCTCTGCTCCTACTTGGAAACATGGCCCTGACCACACAAACTTAGCATTTCATTTCAGACATCTTGTTATTTCATTTCAGACTCTCTGGTTATTTCCTGTGTGTAAGAATAGATTCTCCCAGGGAGATTTCAGTTGAGCATCTGAATTGCTGTGCCTGCCACAGACTTTCCTCCCGGTATCATGGCCGCTAGGACATTATCTAACCTTTATCTTTTAGAGACTGGAAAACCAATGCTCAGGGAGGGAGAAGGCCTACCCAAGACACACATGGTATACTGCCAACATGACAATCCTCAGAAAGGGAGGTGGCAGAGGTTAAGGAGGGACCATTGGGACTCCTTGGGTGGGGACTATGCTCATTTCCAAACAGAAAGCCTATGAGGACGGAAGCCTGCCCAGCATCCTCTTCTGACCCAGCCTCAAGCAGCACAATAAACAGCACCATTCCCAAGTGGAGATTCCACAGGACAGTGACCTCTGCCCCTTAAAGAGTTGGAAACTGCTTGACCTTCTGGGGATGGGAGCCACAGCAGCCCCACTGAGAGTGTGTGTGCCTGAGAGTCAGGCTCTGCTGGCGGCTGGAGCCCTCAGCACGGCCACTGCGTCTCTCTTCACCACCCCCCCTTCCTGCCGGGCAAATGGAATGACAGCCTTCACCAATGAATCTGACCACACTGGCACGGCAGCTAACACACACTGCCTGGCACCAAAGCCTGGGTCCAGGGCAGCTTTGCTCGAGAATCATGATGGGAAGACAACACATGTGCACTTAAAGGAGCCATGAACTGGGCCAAGGACAGTCTGGCAGGCCCAGGTAGTGGGAGCGGGGTACTGCTCCTGAGCGTGTCAGGGTCCAGGAAAGCCATGGCGTGGCACAGCCTGACAGAAAGAGATGGTAAGAGAGGAAGGGAAAGGTAGAGCGGGCAAGCAGCAAGGACAGAGCCTATCAGAGGGGCAGCAGGGTCAAGCGGTCCAGGTCTTTGCTCAGAATGGGTGTGAGGGACCCTGATGATACAACTGTGTGGGACATGATTAGATCAAAGGCACTGCGGCTAACTACAGCCTAGCAGCGCCCAGCACTGGCAAGACCCAAAAGAGAATGGATGGATTCCAGGGGACCACTGGGCCACATGCAGAGACTGGAAATCCAAGCAGAAGAAATAATTGGCCACAGAATTATGAGATGGGAGGGAGCCTATTTCTCAGGCTCACACAAGGTGTGAGCAGTCAGGTGGATCTCAGAACTGGCTCTGCCTGCAGAGGTCAGGCCACGGCCTCCCACCCTTGGTAGGGACTCCTGTCCCTGTCTAGCAGGCCCAAGGCAAAGCATCTGTCAAAGTTCTGAGGAAACACATTTCGAGAAATAAACAAACAACTTACCTTGGCTATTTTCACAAAATGGCTCAGGATTTCTGCCCTTATTTTTAAAGTCTGTGCTGTTAGAATTTCTCGTACGACCCAAAAACTGACCTGTAGAGTCAAACACAAACACAAACACACATCAGAGAAGTGGTTAAATGCCAGGCTGTCCCTGTCACCCGATGCCCACCGTCACGGCAGGATTTCCATGGGGCCAGGCAGCTTTGAGAGCACAGCCTAGGGTCACTTAAAGGGAGGGGACGAGCCCCATGTCTGCCCTGCCTCCTTACCATACAGAACAGTGCTGGAATCCATTGCTCACAACAGTGTCTCTGCAGGTGCCTCAGGGAAGATTCAGGTGTGGGGAGAAGATGGGTGACAGAATGGATGGACAGATGGAAATGTAGACTGAAGTTGAGACAAAAAGAAGTGTCTACTAACCATACCTTCAATAAGTCTATACTCCCAGCCAAGCCCAACACAAAGAGGATTTGTTGATATTTGCACAACTGCAACAAACTTCACTTTCTAACAGAGGCTTGCCAATAATAAAAGACGCAGAGTCCCGCTGGGCCTGAGGGGCGTGGATCTTCTGGAGGTGGCATGGGCCAGCCATGAGGGTAGCTTTGGTGTAGAACTTTATTCCTGCATGGCCTCTCACTTACACAAACAGCCTCCTGGGCCCTGCGTCTGTTGGTGACAACAAGAAAGTTGTCTATCAGCATGAGGCTCACTCACAGCACCACAAGGACACACAGAAGGCAGCCATCCAAAGAGTGCTTGGAAGCACTTAATGCTTCTTGATGGCTCAGTGGCATCGGGACAGCGGTGTCGGAGAGTGCAGAACAGCGAGGCAGAGAGATGACGCGGAGAACACAGCTCCGTGCACGGTGGGCACGAGGGTGAGATGTGGGGATCCCTCACTCCACAAGGAAAGAGATGCTGAAGGACAGCCTGAAGTTAACAAAGCAAGCTTGCTGCACAAGAACACACCTTCTCCTGACTAAAATTCTGCTGCTTTACAAACAGAAAGCAAGACAGGCTGAGAATAATCAACTGGCCATTTTGTTAAGCTTCAGTGTAATTAGCCATGACTGCCTGCTGGTCACGCCTGGGTTTCCATAGAATCATTTTTTCCAGTGGATTGTCAAAATTAAGTTCAGACTCAAATGTTTACCAGTTGTTTCTGGAAGACAGTTACTCTGGACACCAAACAGAAGCTTGTAAAGCTTATATTTAATATGTGCACTTCCTATGCTGCATAATCTCAAGTGTGATGCTCCATTACGTGTAATCCAACAGGAATGTGCGCCAAAACCTCACACATCTCCTGACGTGGCTCTGCAAGTGCTAGAGCTAACTAGGGACCTGCACACCTAGTGTGCAGAGGCTTTGAGACAACAGTCAGTTCAACTGGGTTGCATGAAGCCCTACTGTGTTCAGGACCCAGGCACTGTAAGTCCATATCTGATCTAGTGGAATTGCTCAGAGCCTGAGGACTGCAGTGTGGGACCCTGACAGATAGGAGGCAGCTTACTCGGTAAGGCAGGGCTGAGGTGTCACTGTGTATGCCATGATTCAGAACAGCTAAGTGGCCGAAGGGCTTGGAGAAGGGCTGTGTAGTGCAGTAGTTAGGACAGACAACCAGATGTGGACCACCAGACTTCAGTGCTGGGGCAAGAAAGGAAGGATCTAGGACACCACCCAGTTCAGGGAGCTTGGCTTCTGAGCGGAGTGACAAAGGAAATCCCTGCCAAGCAAGAGCCCCCACTAAACTCAGAGGCAGAGGTGTGTGAGGAGTGGGCCTGGAGAGGGCTGTACAGATTGATGAAGATGCAGATGGGGACAAGTAAGGAAGACATGCAGGGGCACAGTGCATGGTCTTTTTTAATCTCTACCTATAAAATTAAAAAACAAAGAAAGCAAACATAAGCACAAAAGGCAGAGGTCATTTGCAAGCTCAGATCTACAGACCAACAATGACAAGCTATGATTTATGTCCTGATTTTTTCCCCATACCCACAGTTGGCTTAAATTAAAACTGGTAAATTTTAAGCATATATCACAAACAGTTTTAGAAATAAGAAGTATTTATCTGTGATTTTTCCAGCATCTAAGAATTTCGTCCTTTCTTCTTTTTGGTTTTTTTGAGTCAGGGTTTCTCTGTAGCTTTGGAGTCTGCTCTGGAACTCACTCTGTAGACCAGGCTGGCCTCAAACTCGCAGAGATCCACATGCCTCTGCCTCCCGAGTGATAGGATTAAAGGTGTGCACCACCGCCGCCACCACCTGGATCACCTCTGTAGTTTTACCTTTCCAGAATGTCATGGAAAGGAAAGAAAGAGAACAGGTAGTCTTCTACACTGGCTTTCATCTCGAAATACATGCTGAAAAGTCCCCTGTGTCTATGTGACTTCACAGCTCATTCCACTTTCTGAGTAAATACTATGCCATGTGTTTGCCCATGCCCTGCTGAAGACATCTCAGCTCCTTGTCTTTGACAACTATTAACAAGCTGCCATGAACACTGCTGCGCTAGTATGAGCACGTGTGTACATATGTATGTGCGTGCATGTAGGTTTTGAGCCTCTAGGTCAGTGCATGAGGGTAACTGCTGAGCCACATTTTGCTCTCCTGCATCACCTGCAACACTGAATGAGTTGTACTGCCCCAGGTCCCCGGCAGCTCAGGTGGGTGCTGTGGTTGTTCTGTGCGCTGGTGACAAAGGAAGGACACTAAGCATCTTCTCGTGGTGATGCATCTGGACTGCTGAGCACCTACCTGAGTGAGTGTCTGATCCATTTTGAGTTAATTTTAAGGAAAGGCTTAAAGTCTGTATCTGAAATTCATTTTCATACATGCACATGCACATGCACACACACAGAGAGACAGACAGACAGACAGACAGAGAGAGCCCTTCAGTTATGCCAGCACAGTCTCCATACACATTCTAGCACCCTGGCCTAGCTGCCCCTGCTCTTCTGTAACAGTGTAACAGTTTCTCCGTTTCCAGCACTGCACTGGTTACTCTGGGCTCTGGCCACACTGGACGACCTCTGGGATGAGTCTGCGGGATCTTAGCAGCAGCACTGAATCTAAATGTCAAGTGCAGAGCTGACATGTTAAGGACACTGAGTCTTCTCATCCATGAAGCCAGAGCCCCTCCCTGTTTCCTAACATCTACTCTGATTACTTACATCAGTGCTTTGTAGGTTTCAACATATTAACCACGTTTTGCAAAAATAAACACCTAAGTCTTGTTTGGGTCCTGGCATTATTACAAACAGTGCTCTCAACCTTCAGATCCCAATTCCTCGTTGGTAGTACAACAAAAGCAATCCCTCTCTGCGCAGTGAATGACCTTGTGTTCCTTGCTTGTGCATTAGTGCCAGAAGAGTTTGTAAAAATGACTTCTTTGGAGTTTTTATAGACAGTCATGTCAACTAAGAATAAAGACACCTCAATTTCTTTCCCTCTCACCCAAATGTCTTCTACACTAGCCAGGACATCTGCACAGTAGTCACAGGACCAGCATGGAAGCACAGCATCATGGGTAGATGTTGCACTTTATATGCTTCCCCCCTTATTCCGCCAGTTGATACGGTGTTAACCCTAAATTTTTGAAACGCTGAAAAGGCTACTTAGTCATGGAACTAAATAAGCTTTCATACATTTAGACTATTGTTAAATACCTTCTTGTTTTGATGCAGTAGCTAACACTCAGGTTGGCTAGGGTATTCTAAGACATCCTTGAGAAATGCCACACAAGTGTCACAGATGAACAGAAAAGAATGACTGTGAGAATACAAAGCACTTTATTCAGTTAGTCATCCACAAACAAAATAAAAAATAAATGCGGGGAGAAAAGGGAAAGCCCAGGTTTAAGAATTGTGGGCTGGGGGAGTTGGCTCGGTGGTAACAATGCTAGCTGTGTAGACAACAGGACCTGAGTTCAAAGCCCCCAGCACACACATAAAAAGTATCTGTGAGGAGCTCAAACAGGAGGATAGCTGGGACTTACTGACCAGCCTAGGTGGCAAGTTTCAGGCCATGAAAGATCTGGTCTCAAGGGGATGGGAGAGTGACAGGAGGAGATGGGTTTCACCTACTGAGATCAACCTCTGGCCTCCACATGTGCACGCACACAGATGGACCACTGTCTTCCTCTTGCTGCCAAATCTTACCTTTCTCCTTAGGCAACGATGGCATCTCTACAAATGAACACGGCCTCACGTCCCTTTACCACTCTCACTGCATCAACTATCACCCAATTCCCCACCGCCCAGGGCTGTCCAACAGCAAAAAATCCTATGCTCTCGCCACAGACCCAAAACCTCAAGTCTTCTAGTCCATTCTCACCCCTTTTTCTCACGGCCCTCTAGAGCCTGAAGCCCTTTGTCCTCTTAGGCAGACTGTTCTTGTTCTTTGTCACTCTTAAGGTCCCCTTGTTGTCACCCCAATCCTTCCGGCCTATGTGCACATATGGACTGACCACATGTCCTTCCATGCTCCCTCCTCCAGGCCCAAGGGCACCCAGAGACACTTTAAGTGCTGCGTGCTCTTGCTCCTGGACCCCTGTTGGTGCTTAGGACTCTCTCATGCTCTTTTGTGGTCAGCAAGCTTCCCACCCCAATTCCCCCCTTTGCCTTTGTTTTCCCAGACAGGCCTGGCACTGTACTTATACGCTGCCTGCAGCTGCGTCTCCCTTATGACAGCACCCTGCACTGTGAGATATCCCAGGACACCCCTTTGCCACCTCCTCTAGGACTCTGCCATATTCCCTGCCTCCTGCACCCTTTCCTTCAGACACTAGCATCATCAAGGGTCTGCCCACTTGAAAGAAGAACAGCACAACATCTTCCTGGACTTCACTGGTCCCTCTTTCCTTGCCCCACCCTCCATCTTCGGAGCATCACCTACACCGGCTCTCTCAGGAGGTGCTCTAGCTTGCTGTGTGCCTGTGGTTAAGACCTGTGGGCCCACTACCAGCTCCGCTCAGGCGGCCTGAGCTCTGCACTCTTTCACTTTTGAAGTGCACTTTCAGATTCTGTACTTCTGGAGTGTTCTTCGTATTCTTAGATGCCTTCACCCAGCCTCATGTGCAAATCTCCTCTGCCCATGACAAATATCAGAAGTCCTCAGTTCTTGGTCTCATTTCTCCAAGCCCCCCTTGAAAACACTGCTGGTCCTGACATATACTCTTAAGCCTCTGCCCCTCACTTTTGTTCTGTAAGGTGGGTGATGTTGCTATTCTTTGGGGCAGATGAGGAAACTGAGGCTCAGAGAGGTCAATGGGCTGCTAGCTCTTATCTGGAGTCTGATAAGGTGTCCTGCCTTCATCATGCGGTTCAAGCCCGCCCATAAGTGGACCAGTGAGCTCATCCCAAAGACAGCAGCTTCAGCAGTGGGCCAAGGCTGGCCTCTGGCCAGTTTTCAAGCTGGAGCTCCCAGGCTGTCCAGAAGTTCTGGCTCTCCATGATCTGCATCTCCTGGAGCATTCTGCTTGAAAACCACTGCTTGACTTCTGGGTCACTGCACCACTTGGTCTGGGATGGACACAACACAACTGTTTGTCACACAGGCCGTACGACTATGCCAAGCTGACCTGCACCCCTGTGTGAAGCAGTTACAGAGTCCCCCAAAGACCCATCCTCTGTGAGTTCTATGGCTGCCTGGAGGTGGAGACTAGGTTGGCTCCCAGTCAAAGAGCTTTGCTAAAGATGTGTGATAGTGTGTACACATCTGGCTCTTCTTTTCTTCCTACTTTTGTTTTGTTTCGAGACAGGAGTTCTCTGTGTAGCTGTCCCAGATCTCGCTCTATAGACCAGGCTGGCCTCAAACTCAGAGATCTGCTGACCTCTGCCTCCTCAGTGCCGGGATTAAAGGGGTGCCCCACCTCAACTGGGCTTCTTTTCCTTTTTTTTAAGATTAGGTTCGGTTTGAAACGAAAAGATTTTCAGTACAGAAACAAATCAAATCACTTCTCTATTCAAACAAACTGTGAAGCCCCCTAGCACAGAGGCGGCCACACTGGTCTTGGCTCCTATCACACCTCATCAAACAAGCAAACAAACAAACTGTGCCAGTCCAGCCCTGATCTTTGGACTACAACCCAGGGCCTGTCTGAGGCTCCTGCTGTCCATGCATGGATGCGGAAGCTGCAGAGGCTGCAGAGGCTGAACACCAGTGAGGCAGAGGCCCAGGCATCGACAAGAGGGAAGACCCAGCTCAAACTGAGACCCCAAGGAAAAGTGGGCCCCAGGACCCAGAGGGTCCGTCACACAGCAATGCAACCTCCTTGGAAACCAGAAAAAAACTGAGACTAATCCCATGTGGAGGTCTGGTCTGTGCAAAGGGAACCTGAGGGAGCTTACTATCAAAGCACAGGCTCTGCAGTTCTGGTGGAGAAGTCAGAGGCACTGGTCCCTTCGGTTGGTCCATTTGCTTCCAGGAGCCCAAATCTCCCACTGCAGGAGGGACCTCTTCACACCCGAATGTAGCAAGCTTTCCTGCCCACAAATAGTGACCCAGAGTTTTATTATTAATTATGAAAGCTTGGCCTTGGCTTAGGTTTTTTCCCTACCAGCTCTTATAACGTAAACTGACCGTTTCTATTAACCTATGTCCTACCATGTGGGTTGACCTCTCTTACATCTGTACCTCGTTTCCTCTCTGTGTCTGGCTGGCAACTCCACCTTTCTTCTTCAGAGTTCTCTCTCTGCCCACAAGTCCTGCCTACACCTCCTGCATAGCTATTGGCCATTCAGCTCTTTATCAAACCAATCACAGTGACACATCTTCACACAGTGTAAACAAATATTCCACAGCACCCAAAGCCAGAGTTCTAGCTGGACCAAGTCAGCTTAGAGAGCGTGGGGCCAGGGGGTCAGGACACGGAAGTGAGTGCAACTTGAGAAGTGTCTTCTCACCACCCCACTCAGGGCTTCACGTGTGTTTCCTGAGGGTCCTTCGCACACCAGCCTGACACTGACAAAGTGGTCGGGACATGATGAAGGACAGGACAACTTTCACAGAGACCTCAGGACACGCAAAGCAAGAACAGCTGAGTGGAGGACACATGCAGGAAACAAGAAGGCGCAATGAGGGAAAGTTTGACAGGGAGCCCTCAGACAGGCTGGGCACTCCCTGGACAAGTGACACTCAGGGTAAGATCAGGGAAGAAGAGTCCTGGGCCAAAGCACAGGACACAGGGCGGGTGCTATCGGGATTGAGATATGGCAGAGAGGGCAGACCAGGGAATTGGAGCCCGGAGAGGAAAGGAGATAGACGAGGCAGGAAGGGAAAGCAGAGGCTAGATCCCCACGCCTGGCCTCCCAGGGCTGAGCTTTTACAGAGGCATGAGCACAGGAGAGGTGTGCCCTCACTCACTTTGTAACCAGACTACGATGACACAAGAATGGACACCAGTGGGCAGTCAGGAGAGAGTGCTGGGTCCAGAGCCAGGAGACTAAGACTGAACCCTGAGGGGTTTCAGGCACAGTGGACTGCTGTGAAGACAGACACTGCAGGGACGTCACTTACCTGGTTGAACCTCCGGGTAAAGGCCACAACATTAGGGGCAAGACTGTGTTTCTCCTTCTTACTCCATCCGCAGCTGGCCAATTCCTGGGAAGCACAGAGTTGGTGTCAACAGGGATTCGGTCAGGATGCAAAATACACAGGCATCTGGCTGCAAGGTGAGCATGGAGGTGGGCAGGGCTGAAGCCTGGTTATCCCTAAACTCTCACCAGGTGGAGAAGGAGGGCTAGGTCTGGGGTGGGGGAGGACGGCTGGGTCTGGGGTAGGGGAGGAGGGCTGGGTCTGGGGTGGGAGAAGGGGGCTGGGTCTGGGGTGGGGGAGGAGGGCTGGGTCTGAGGTAAGGATACATATGGGCAGGCTCAGAGGAGAAGCAGAGAGGCAGAATACTCTCTCCTAATTCCCAAGATTTCTATGCCAAAATATTTACTATCAGCTTCTTTGGGACCGAGAGGCCTTCTTACAGTGCAGACTGTCTGAGACAGGGCATAAGTATTTAAACCAGCAGGATTCATCCTGTCCTGGATTTTAAGCTAGTTCCAGGACTCTAGGCTAACTTAAAAAATAAAATCTAGCTGCGGAAGCTCAGATTTTGTTGGTCACATGACTATGGTGATAAATTGTTTATGATTTAATAAAGCTTGCCTGGAAAAACCGAATGCAAAGCTATCCACAGCCATAGAGGCCAAGCAGTGGTGGCACACACCTTTAATCCCAGGACTCAGGAGACAGAGGCAGATGTGAGTTCAAGGCCACCCTAAGCTACATGAGAGTGAATCTGTCTAAAAAGAGAAACAGAGCTCACACCTTTAATCCCAGCATAGAGAGGTAGATAAGACAGGAGCAGGGTCTCAGAGCTGGCATTCAGTCCTGGGCAATTAGTCTCCAGTCACATTGAGGACAGGAACGTCCCAGCCTTGGTAGGGGTAAGATCTCTCTGGTGGCTGCTTTGCTTTTCTGATCTTTAGCAAGAACCCCAATATTTGTCTCTGGGTTTGTATTATTCATGTTACTCCTCCATTCTTATAATCAGGCAAAAAATCTCAGGCCAAGCCCTCAACGAGCAGAAATGCTTCTGGGACTACCTGGGACTCCTTCCGGAAGCTGACCCTCCCATCTCAGGAGGGAAAAGCACCTCGAGTGTGGGAGCACATCTACCTTCCCAGCGGGCTGAGCAGCGTTATCTGATAAGTCAAGCTAAGTTTACCTGTCACCAAGGTCAGCTCCTGGATGGATACAGGAGCAACTGTGTGTGATCATGTAGAGGCAAGCAAACTCAGGGACCCAGGACTCTACTTGGTATGGGACGTGCACATGGCAGCCCAAGACCTTACACCTGCATGTACTGCACACACCCCTCTCAAGCAATCTACCTAGCAACCTGGCGGCAAACTAGAGCACCCACCTTCACTGAGCTGCAAGCCCTCCCCTCTTTGAACAATGTAGTAAGTTTCTCCTGCCATTGAATGATCATTAGACAGGTTCTACTAAAGCACACTCCAATTATACCCAGGTATGAGACTGGGGCCCAATCCAGTCTGAACTAGTTTAAGTACCTGAACAATAAGGCAAAAGGTGTCCTCTAAGTGAACTTTTGGGGAGGATCCCTAATTTATCATCCCATGCCTGTGCATAATTAGGCAGTCATATGACTAAAATAAGATGCATCATGGGAAGGGACATGTTAATATAAACCCACCAATCAAAACAGAGAACCACCCATGCTACAGCCCTTAGCAACCAAACTCCTCCTCTTGAGGACCATAAAAGGAAGCTTAAATAATAATAGGGGATCTTGAGTTCCCTACTCATATGGCCATTATCACCCTTGACAGCGCTGATTCTTCCTGTAGTGAACTATTACTTTGCTCCAAATAAAGTTTCCTTGCCACTTTTGTAATCCGTGTGAGCCTTTATTTCAACTCCTTAAATAAGAGGCAATAAATAAATAAATAAAACTCCCTAGGAACCACCAGGGACAACTTGGAGGCTAGAAGACCAAGGAAAGGCTATAGGAAAAGGCCCAGCATCCCCAGCCTGTGCTGCTGGGCGCCCTGACAGAGGACAGCGGGAGGGATGTTCTCTACCTAGACTTCTAAACCCCTCTGATTCCTACCAGGCCTCTGCCTTACGAGCAACTTTTTCTTTATAAGTACTCCTGGGACATTTTAAAGATCTTTGGTGAGAATCAGCTGCCAAAGCTGGAATAAACATGTATCGAGGAGTCGGGGGCTGGGGAAGTGTTAACAAGCAAAGGGAAAACTTGCCGGCTGGATGGTTATGTCTGAAGCAAGCACTCATCAGGGCCCAGTGATGGGTCCCTGCCAGCCACTCAGGGGAAGCCAGCTGCAAGCAAAGAGGCCTGCCTGGCTGAAGGATGAACTGCCTGGACAAGGGGACACCTGAAGACCAACCTCTTCCTGGTTGCCTCGCATCTGTGAACAGCCACTGTCACCCCATGAGAAGAGTGAGCCAGAGCCTGGTCAAGTCCATTTCAACTTGGCAGTCTTAGATCCCAGGTCTAACGACAGTAGCATCAATTAACAAACGCCAGCATTTGACAGGGGGCACTGGAGCGAGGCCCTTCTTGCAGTTTTCTCATAAAAATTGCTACCACACCCCGCTTTAGCAAGCGCTGCCGTGCTCATCCTCCTGAAGGAACGCTGTGACTTCTCAAACTCACAGCTGAATGACTGTGTAGGGTTCACCTGTTTGCTGTCTGCACCTTGTCTGAAATGTGAACCTGGAGTCATTTCCAGCGCATACTTCACCTGCCTCAGTGGAATTTCCTCCCCACTGTGTGCCAAGACAAAGGCCTCTCCTAGGACTCCCAATGTCAACACTGAGAAACTGTGTGTTTTAATTAAATACAAAACCAGTGCATTTAAACACCATTCAGGAATTAGACTGCTTAGTGTCTAATCTCTGACTGATGGCATTTCCCTCCATATTTTTCCTGCATTCAAAAATAAACAACAGTAGCAGTAGGTGTGTGTGTGTATGTGCTTGGGAAGAGCGTATGTGTGTATGCATGTGTATGTGGGCTTTTTGTTTGTTTGTTTTTTGGTTTTTCGAGACAGGGTTTCTCTGTATTGCTTTGGAGGCTGTCCTGGAACTCACTCTATAGACCAGGCTGGCCTCAAACTCACAGAGATCCGCCTGCCTCTGTTTCCTGAGTGCTGGGATTAAAACACCCAGCGCTTTAAAATTATTTACAACACTGGTGCAGAGCTGTTCATGCATTTACAAACTGTGTTCATCTTTAAAATGAACTTTTTTTTACAGTCGTTGATATTTACTGTTCAGACAGAAGCTCTAAATCCAGGATGCCCCAGGGTTGCACATGGCCCTCCCAATGCCCTAGACATACAGGCCATCTAGGCTGGTCAGCTCTGACCCTGGCTGAGGGCGAGAGGGCGTGAGAGCAGACTAAGAGGAGAGTCATCCGGGTCTCGCCCTCTGTCATGCAGATTCCCTGAGTCCACCAGAAAACAGAAGCCACACAACCTGGCCCCATGCCACCATTCAGTCTTCCCAGAGGTCTCAGCAGTATCTTCGACCTCCTCCTCTAGTGTCCCTTCCTGCTGCGTGCTGGTGTGCATTAAGCCTCACTCACCAATAGATGAGATTCATGCCTAGCCACACCCTGCCTGTCTCCTCCAGCCCTCTTCTTTCTCCTCCTCAGCAGAGTTATCATCAACTGTCTTCCCTCCCCCTCCTGCCTTCCCCATGCCCTGCTCTCCTGCCACTGGGTCTTCATTCCAACAATGTCAACTCCCGACTGGGACACCGTGGCCCTACACTGTCCCCTGAACCTCTCTACAAGGCCATGTCTTGAAGGCCTGACTGTCCTCGTCCTCGTCATGTCTTCCTGTTTCTGACGCAGGCCCCAGCCCCACCTGGATCTGCCCATGCTTGCCTTCCCCATCATGCTGCTCAGTGTGGTGACCACACACATACCACTGGCTTCAGCTGGTAGCCCTGTGGCACCCATGCTCCTGTTCTGAGCTCAATCAAGATTCCAAGTTCCTATTGGCCAAACCTTCCTAGGGTCTTACAGGGCACCTCAGTTTCTGCAGGCCCAGACCTATAGCTGCCATAAAAAAAATCTCAGCAACACAGGGTTCATTTAGACACTCTCTGCCAGTCAAAGGCAAATATTTATTACTAGTGCAGTCACAAAATCAACTTCCTCTAAACAGCCTCACCTGTGTGCATTCTTAGGCGAAAATGAGTGTCAACACTCATTGTCACCTGACATAGCACCTCTGAGCCCCCAGTCAGGTGAGCCCCACAGCTCTGAGCCCACAGTCAGAGGTGAGCCCTGGATGTCAGACACCATGACATGCCCTAAGAAAGACTCAACCCTGACTTGTGCATGGAGCATTCAGAAACCTCTGAAAGAGGAGTCCTGAGGAAGAGAGGCATCCTCCCTGAAGACTCCCCCCCCCCGTCCCTATGGCATCTCAGCCTCCAGACCACAGGAAGCTAGTACCAACACGTGGCCCTCCACATGTGGGCTGAAGTCCAACTGCAGTCTTCTCCAAATCATGTTACCCCAGTGTGTCCACAGGGAAAACACATCACCTCAAGGATGGGCTGGCAGCAGTCACCGGCACCCTGCCACATCTGTGAACTGCTGCAAGCTGTCTCCTGCCTGCTCCCACCCACCTTCTGACAGAAGACAAAGACAAGAGACAAAGGGAAAACTGCCAGGTTCACTCATGGCAACTGTTCAGAGGAGCTGGAAGACAAAGGCACCAGGACAGGAGGCCACTGAGCAGTGGGAGCAGGGCCAGCCTAGGGACAGGGTCTGACTGAGGAAGGGGATACATCAGAGTCCCCCGCTGCAGGAGCCCAAGAGCGGGAGCAGGAGACAGACAAGCAAGAGAGAAGCCAGCAAGTCCTCGAGAGATGTGCAGGCCTTCCCACCCGTAGAAAGCCATCCTTATAAGGGATGTACAAATGAGGGGTCCTGGGATAGAAGCAGAAATGTCAGCGCTCCCAGGAGACTCTCCCACTGGTGCCCGACAGAGAGTTGGCTTTAGTCTCATAAGTGAGTGCTGAAGGCATACACAGCACAGAAAGGC